TTGATTAGTCAATTGAAAGGAATTGGAATTGAAAGGACCTAGCATCAGTTTTTATAATTGTGTAATTGATTAATTGCGAAAATAAGCAGAATATGTGCTGAAAATAGTTATTGACCATAATGTTGACATAACCAAACACTTTGATGGCTCCATGATTTAATTAAGTTTACAGTTTGTGATTCCTCTTCATCCATTGTGAGTAAATCAGCGTTCTTCCATCACTGGTAAACAGACAGGATTTGTTTCATTGTCATTTAATGCGTATCTTAAATCAATAGATAGTACTGAAAGGATTAGTCCATTCATCAAATTGCAAGCTATTGTGATTATCAATCATTTAAGTCATTAATCTCATTTCAGCTTCTCAAATGGAGAGATTTGCTGCTTTTCTTTGTTTAACATTGTTGTAAAGTGAACAACAAACAAGCCACCTTGAGAAGTCACAATCACTCTGGAAACTTGTGACAGACATTTGTTACTTTTTGTGACAATATATAGACTAATCAATTTTTTTAAATAATTGACATAGTGAAAAATTAAAGTTAGATACAGCTGTATATTTAGAATAGATTACTGCATGCTTTTCTACAATCCTCTTATGACAAATGGAGCTGATTTTTTTTTTGTTCAAAATGCAGCAGCCAGACTCCTAACTGGACATTTGATATTTTAAGATTAATTCTGATATAATGATTTTAAAGACCACCTTCTGAACGACAAAACCCTCAATAGATTGGCACAGTTTTCAGCGCCTGATATTAAACCATATATACCAGTACATCTTCAATGCTCTGTAAGTGCTCGATAGCTGGACTGTTATAGTGATTTTAACTCAGTTGAGAATTTTAAATCCAGTCCCAATACACACATCTCTCTTTAATATGGCTCTTGCAAGTCTACATGTTGTGCAAACATACAGTCTCATGTAAACTTATTTTTCACTTGAAGTAGTCACCTACTTAAGATCTGTTGATATGTTAATTTCTCTTAATGTTTTTGTGTCGGAGGACCCCCTTGAAAATGAAATTGTGCTGGGGGGGGGGGGGGGGGTATTTAATCTGTATATTTTGTGTATCTATGTTTGTCTGTATGTGGAAATGCCAATACTTGCATTTTATGCATATGGCTGTGCCCACATAAAGATGTTTTTATAATTGTTTATTGTGTGCAAAGACTCTTGCTGGTGATTTTGCATTATTAATGAAATTAACTTGAACTTGATGATTATTAATTCAAATATTGATTAAGTTAGACAGCCAGATTTGTTCTTAACTTCATTAATGTCTATGTCTTTGTTTAATTACCTGGTCCCAGAGTGCACCGGCCACCTGATCGATGACGGCGCCGAGTTCTCTGTATTCCCCAGAGTACCGGATGTAGGCCCAGGTGCAGAGAGTGATCAATGCCAGACCCAGGATCATGTTACACAAGCTGGCAATGATGTCCACGCCCACAAAGCCTGTGATGCCTGCGGCCACGTACATGACAAAGATGACCACAAACAGGGTGGCCGGCGTGCGGGCTGCGTGGAAAATGTTCTTGGAGTCATTGTGCTTGATGTACTGGACAAACACCTCGTCAATTTCTCCCTCCAGCTGCTGCAGGTAGCGGCGGCTGAACTCCTCGCCTCCCATCTTCTTCACTCCCCGAAAAACCTGCAGTGCCTCCTCTCTGATGGCGCTGTGTCGGGCCTGCAGCTCGCTGGGGGCCAGGAAGGGCCGGTCACCCCCACAAACCTGGGAACGAGGAGAAGGAGAGGGTTAATGAAGAAGGATTCGACAGATGGTGGACAGTTTGGGATTTTCTTGAAAATCAGGTTTACATTTCCACTTACCCCCTCCATTTTCTTGTTATACAGATCCTTTGCAGCCGCTACTGCTGCCAAATTATTGGCTTCTGCTGTGGCCTGAGAGCAAGCAGATGGAAATACAGTGATCACTTATTTTAAGGTAATATTAGGTAAGACAAAATAAGAGGAACTTTATTGATCCGACACATGGAAATGTATCAGCAGAAGTACAAGAAGAGATGCTTAGAAAAGTAACTTTAAAAACTTTTAAAAACTAGAATACTACATATATACATGTATACAAATACAACATGAAAATACTATATACACCTGTGGATGTACTCTTAAGTCTCAGTTAGTAATGTGATGATCCATTGTGATGAACATAAATTGTAACGTTAAAGTGTATTGAGACAAAGGAAGTTGCAATTAAACATGAAATACAAACCTTCTACTAGAAAGACCATGAATAAAATGTACCTGCAGCATGGATTTTGGATGTGGCAGCTCTTCACCTTGGTATATTTTGATGTATGCCTGAAATAAACAAAGGCATGACAAAAAGCATTAAAAGTAACAGGACTGGTTAAATCATCAGGTAATATAAATTTGTTGGATTGAGTCACAGCCATGTGCAGAAACTCAGAGTTTAACAGTTACTAATATACATAACAAAAGACAGACTTTTAACTATAAAGATAAAATACCTCAAAACCAATATCAATATTCAAAGAAACTACAGTGTTGGCTCATATTAACGGGGTCTTTTGTTCTGACCTTGAAGTACTCCACCAGTCCTCTGCAGGTGATTTTGCTGCCATTGATCTCCTTCACATCGATGTTACGAGGACTGAGGAGCCAGGGGACCAGAACCTTCAGGTTGTTCAAAAAATCACCATCGATCTCTAAATGGGAAAGAGAGGAAACAGCTGGTGAGGGTATACAGTCTGTGATGAAATTCAACAGTGGTTGCTAAGTTATATCCAGTTTGTGGTGGTACACGCAGTAGTCCAGGAAAATAAACGGATAAGATCAGCAATTCAGAGCAGCACAAACTGTGAGACACAAAACAGCTTGTTTTCTCCCGGGTGCTGTTTCTCCCAAACTCCAGTGCATCACCTGCTCCTGGACAATTCATAATTGAAAAAACTCAACCCTTTCATATTTTTAGCTATTTCTAGAATTTAGGCAGTTATTTAGATTTTTAGTTTATGGCTGCAATGGATTGGCGACCTGTCTAGGGTGTAACCCTCCTTTCGCCCGGTGCCAGCTGGGATTGGCTCCAGCCCCCCACGACCATGTACGCAGGATAAGCGGTTGACGATGGATGGATGGATGGATGGATATGTGTTTATGATACTAATAAAAGTACTAATGCCTTATATATTTTGCAACCTGGCGGATCCTACCTCAGAACCAAACGGCCAAATTTATTTGTTCTTCTTATTCATACAAGTTTATTGTAAATAGTACATTTGTGCAGTACCTACACTCAAATATTCCCTATTTACACCATTTCAGATTCTACACATCTGACTTTTTATCAAGACTAAAAGTCTACAGCCCTGCTAACATGCTCACATTGACAATACAAACACACTGATGTTTACTGATTAACAACAGTGCTTGTTAATCATGTTAGCATGCTAACATTAGCACTAAACACAAAGTACAGCTGAGGCTGATGGGAATGTCTTTAGTGCTTGCAAAATCAAAGTACTGTATTGGACAATTCAAATTTTTGACCGGATGATAGATGAAAGGTCATGGGGTTGCCGAAGTTATTAGAATCTATCCTATTGGGAAACATTTATGTCTATACCAAATGTCATGAGAATCCCTCCAATAGACTTTTCACAAAAAACAAAAATGTATGAGTTTCATAAATCCTGTGTGTTGTAAATGTACTTTGCCAAAAGGTGTCTCATTGAAATGCTTTAAAACCTGACTTTGAAGATCACTTAAGTTTAGAAACCTTTGACCTTTGAATTCTGTGTTAATTTAAGACTGAATGAAATAATCACATGTAATAAGACAGAGGAAGTGTACCTGTAATTCTTCCATCAAAGTGTGGGTTGGTGGCCACTTTGAGGCCCGGGTGAGGCATCAGGAAACAGGAGATGTTGGTGAAGCAGGAGTGGATGTGTTTACGCACGTTCTGCAGCTCTTCGTGCTGGTTCTCTGAGATCTATACCACAAACATGACCGCATGTATCAGGTTTTAGATGTGCCTTAGTTAGGTTTAGTTAGCCTCATGTGGATCTGTACAGCGACTGTTTAAAACTGCCCTTTCACCATCACAGCAGAGAAAACTGACGTGACAGGACTGAAGATGAATTGACCTTCAGGAAAATGGGTGACAACTGACCTTCAGTCGCTTCTCGAGGAACTTCATGCCTCCCTCCTGTCCATAAGGAAACTCATATGGAAAGCTCCAGTCTCGAACGAGGAAAATCATGGACTATGGGGGGAAAAAGCTACCATGTGACACAAGGATGTGTGCATAAACAGTATAATTTATTTGTAGCAGTTTGAGTACCAGACAACTGTTCACTTTCAAATTATTTTCAGTGATTCAGTGACTTTCCACCACTTATTAAATTTCCTTACATAACAAACCTAAATACAATATTTCAAGATGCTTCAAACAAACACCAGTAATAATGTGTAAATGTCATTTCCTGACATTTGGATGCAATCAGCACAGTGTTGTAAATCCATCCAGCAAGAGGAAATGATGTACAGTACCTGGAATGGTTTGAGGAAAGTCTCCTCCATAGCTAGTCTGCCGTACTCTGTGAAAAGCTGAAATATAGGCAAAGGATAAGACAAAACCAGTGAGGATTTGAATGTTGTGATTAAGTACCACAGTCATTTTTATAAAAGACCAACAGGATTGTTTGGACCACTTGGATACTGAAGAAATTCTATGGGAGCACATAAATTCAAAAATCGAATACATCTATTAGTCTGTTTAAATGGTATTTCTTCTGTTTCTGCTGTAAGTCAACACATAAAGCCAAATACTAATATGCATGTGTGGCTGGCAATAAGTGTTCAATCTGGATCTTTGAGCTCTCAATTATGCATTAGTGTTGCCACTTGACAACATTACCTGCAAATGCTGAAGGTCATCCTCTTGTACATTCTGTGAGATGTTGTAAACCTGAAATAGATCATTAGTTTATCGTATCATTTCTTTAAAGCACTTAGTATGTAGTACATCTAATTATTAAACCATTCTTGAGTATGAAAAAAAGGAAAAAAACAGTCAATGAGCAAACAAGACAAAAAAATCTACAGCCATGATAGCAGTTCTGTGTGGCTGTATTTCGGTACAACAGTGTTTTGAGCTAAAATCATCGCCATGCTAACATGCTCACAATGGCAGTGCTAACAAGCTAATATTAAGCAGGTAAAATGTTTACCATGTTTACCGTCTGAGTTTGGTGTTAGCATGCTAACATTTGCTAATTAGCAGTCAACACAAAGTATAGCTGAGGCTGATGGGAATGTCATTAGTTTTGCAAATATTTGGTCATAAGTATTTGACAAATTAAAATTTTGACCTGACGATGGCGCTATAGCAAAAATAAAGGGATCACCAGAGTGATTAGTCAGGAGATGACCAGTTATTAAGATTCGTTCTCTGGGGACCATGACCAAAATGTCATGGCAATCCATCCAACAGTCATTAAGATATAAGTCTTGACCAAAGTGTTACACAAGCTGACCATCCCTAGAACTCTCTCTGACTAAAAATACAAACCTATATTCATTCACATAAATCTGCAATTATGCATAGTAAAGTAAAGCTGGGATTAGATCAAGGTGGAAGTCGCTGTACCTGCATGGAGCTTATCATGGTGCTCAAGGCGAATACAGTGGCTGAATCCCTCAGCGTTGACTGGCTGTCAAACGTGCCTTGTGTGTCCATTAGCAATACAGCGACCTGTGAAATGAAACAGACAAAGACACTGACCTGTGCTGCACAGTAGTCTTAACATTTCACATGCCTGTAATGCGCCGAGGAAAGTGATTGTAATAGAGTGTGTGTGTGTGTGTGGGGGGGGGGGGTTAGAGAAGTGCTGGAAGTCCTTTTGTGGCAGGAAACATAATCAGAAATTATCTGAGCTCATCAGCTACTTGATTTAGCTTTGAATGCATATTTAAATGGAGACAAGATGTTGAAAGGGCCACACCTACTCTGATTTAAAAAATAACAAAAGTACAATAATCTGTGCAGACTAAAGATGAGAGACATTTTGCTGATGTAGGCCAAAAAGAATCTGGTTAGAAGTGTTTGAATACAATAATGGCATCTTTACAGTTAACCGACCAAAGTGTTGTTTTACTGAGCAGCTTCTAACTGTGAATGTGTGTAGGCTAACTATATAAATATAAAAAACCTTTGTACCAGGTTGTAATAGTCTACTCTGTCCAGCTACAGAATGGTATACAGTCACAGACTTCACCTTTCTTCCATCTGGCTTGTCCACCAGGAAGACCTCACTCCAGATCTGGATCCCGGTGGTCTCCCTCTCTGAGCCCCCCCTCCAGGAGAAGCCGGTCAGAGGCTCGTCTGCATCTCCGAGCCAGCCTTCAGATGCCTAAGCACAATCGGTTTAGAAGTGTTAGTAGAATGGTTTAACTATCTTTTATACTTTTTAATTAAATGTGGGAAATACCCCGAACCCTATAACCCTGACAAGATTGAATTTCTTTGAGACAATAAAATTACAGAATATGAGCAAAATATAAGACACTGGCAGCCTAATTACAAAATTAGTGGTACTTCTTTTGGTCAAACCCCAATATACAAAAGTCAAAATGCAGTCATCACATTTAAAGTTTACCTTTGAACACTCCAGATTGCACAGAACTAGATACTTACGTGGTTGTACATGTAACGCAGCATGAAGTCCATGAGGAAGGACTTGCCCTTTCGGAAAGCTCCGGCCACAGAGATGGCCACCACCTCACGGTCCCTGACCTCCTCCGCTAGCAGGATGCGGCTCAGAGCCGCCTCATCCAGCTCGAAGGTGTGGTCGTCTTTGACCAGCAGTACTTGCACAGGCCGGGCTCGTCCGTCTGGCTCCTCCTCCTCTGAGCTCCAGTCATATACATTTTTGTCACCAAGGGACCCTGGAGGACAAGACAGATGGGAAAAACATTCAAAAAATGTAGTAGGAAGAAAGGGGAAGATCCTTAAAGAGGGGGAAATTAACCTTAAATAAACATATTTTCAACTTTGAATATGGTTGCATGCAGGGAAATGATAATCTTGATGATAAGTACTTTGCCTGCTGATATTTATCTACATAATTACAGCACTAATAGCACTGGAAAGTCAACTACAATGTTACTATGTGAGCGAGAGAACATCCGGAATCTATTCACAGTGATACGTAGCAAATTTAGTGGTCCATTAAGGAAGGAAACAGGAAAGTTGAGTCCATTATTCCTTTCTGTTAGCCCCAGATCAATAGCACGCTTGTTAATTCTAATAACGAATCACGCCATGCTATCCATCCCATCTGTTTGTATCCAATGAGATCATGTGCATTCACAGCCTTTTTCCAGAGCTTTCCAGGCAGTGACTCAGTGTGTTTCCAATCTCTGCTGTCTCATGTAGAGTGCACAAGCTGCATGACCGTCCTGTTGCAAAGATTGGGAAGATTTTAGCTTCCAAATCCCGTTTATGCAATGTGTGATTTATGCTGCAACAAACTTGTGTCTCACCATGTACGCTCTGCAAAGCACAGAATTATTTCTGTGGTAAAAAATAAAATAAAAAATCCTCACAAATATAACTCCTTCCAGTCTGAGTGGCTGTGATGTTGATTTTGAAGATGTACTTGCAAATTAAGTATTACAAAAGAACTGTGACAGATCAAGGTGTAGCAGGCAAAATTTGGTAGCATGCTAAAAGATTAATGCAGGGTGCCAAGAATGCACAGTGAATAATTTAAGGAGGAATCATCCAAGGTTTCGTCTCCGGCCCGAAGAGGACTGTCAGTTTGACTTCACATCTCCTGCAAAGGCCTCACCCGGGCCAGCACGAGCCTGCCTGGTTAACCTGATCATGTTGCTGCTGCCCTTAAAACAACCGAAGACGTCAGAAGCACTGCCTGCTCAAAGTGGGTCAGACCAGATAAACTCTCTAATGACACACAGCAGCATTTTCCCCCTTTTCCTCATCCTTGATACACTCATTCAGTCCTTCTCGCAGGCCTGTATTTAAAGTTAACATGAGCCATAGAGTGATATCAGTGATAATTAGGATGCTGGTTATCATAATCATGGTGGTGGAGGTGATAATGATGATAGCAGTAATGATTGGTATAAACATGATTGTGATGAGAGTAGTGGCAAGCTATTTACTGATGCAATATTACATAATGTGATGCCAGATGCACCATACACCATCATAAGAGGCTCACTGTGATAAGCACAATAAAAGCAGAAGGTTATTTTCAGGCCTTTTGGGGCCTGGACTACCCCATTAGAGTATTTCCTGTTTGCTGATTGTTGAAAACTACGGGTTTTAACGGTGAAACATATTTTTATATTTTTTTTTTAATATAAAAGCTGTTCGCTTATGCTTGATTGAGCTATATCCATGCTGTGACAAACTGCAAACGGTCTATGTCTCACTACCAGTAACATTACACATTACCAGGATCAAAATAAATAGACACTGGTCACAGTTTTGTCGAAACGAAAGCAAATCATTCTTGGTGGAGTCTAAAATAAACATCTAATTGGCTGCATTGCTCACACCCTCGCCTCGACAGGAATAAAAAATGTATGTGCGTCAAGGAAAGCATGAAATATCAAATATTGTACGTACACTCACCCCAGCTGTCTCTGTCTTTACGGTGCTTCGCCATAATACTGTCCTTATAACCCTCTGTTTGTCTGTTAATGAACGACCCTAGTCGGTAGTCATGGGTGTCGGGGGTTGGGAGGATGCCCTAGCTCCACCAAAACGATGCTCGTATCGCAGAAGGATGATGGAGCTTTTATTCCCAGCGTGATGCAGGGCTCAGTCATGTAACGTTAGTCCAGGGGGCGCTGTTGTCTGTTGTTCCTACGTACTGTAAAGAAGCGGCTAAAATTAATTTGGTTCGCACATAATTTGGTTCGGACATAGTGTTAAAATGAGTGCAGCAACCGAGTAATAGTATGGGTGTTACAATTGGTGTCAAGTCTCTTTCATTCCGTCTGAAACTAAATGTTCAGCTTCCATCAGTAGGTGGCGGTAAGCACAAAGAGACTGGAACACATGCTGCATTCGCGTACTATCGGAAAAAAACAACAGAAATTACTATACTGGTATGTAGGACTTAATGGTGGTCTTATTAAAATCTTGAGTAAAACCAGTGGTGGAATGTATCTAAGTACATTTACTCAGATAAAATAATTTTGTAATACTTGAGTATTTCCATTTTATAATACTTTTAGAGGTGCATATTGTTCTTTTATACTACACTACATTAATTAGACAACGTTTTTCTGCTAGTTACTTTGAAGATTACGAATTACTAACAAAACGTAGGATCTTATAAAATACTAATAGTAATTTAAATTTGCCCCACCTCAACGCACTTCACAAGCAAAATACAAATTATACATTAATGCATCAGTATTATCAATCCATTAATGTAATAGATAATAAAATGATTAGTACAGCCCTGCGATGGACTGGCGACTAGTCCATGGTGTTCCCTGCCTATTAATACTTCCTTACTTGTTAGATATTGAATGCGGGAATGTTTTTACAGTGATAGTTTCCTTATTTTATTAGTAATTAAAAGTACTTCTACCACCACTAGTAAAAGTAGATAAATTAGAGACAAATTAAAGAAATACCCCATTACAAGTAAAAAAGTTTGCATTCAAAATTCTATTTAAGTAAAACTACAGAAGAAGGAGGCACTGTGCAGGCAAAATAGTCTCTGTCAAAAGTATTATTATTATTACTGAATAATTAACATGTAAGCAGCATTTTAATGTTGTAGCTGGCCAAGGTTGAGCTTATTGCACCTATTTTATTATGTGTGGGTAGTTCATTTACTGTATGACCATGCATTATATTTTCTATTCTATTCTATTCATTCTAGGGTTTTAAAATCCTAATTGGCAAAGTAGGCTACCAAAGGAAGTGGGCTAAAAAGTATAGTATTTCGTTTTAATGTAGTAGAGTCAAAGTACAACATAGCAGAAAATTTAAATACTCACGTAAAATACAAGTACCTAAGGCTTAATTATAGTAGTTGGGTAAATTTTAAACTTTTCACCATTAAACACTGAGCATGTCAGATTTTTCCCTGATCCTTGTGAAATGCATGGCCTGCAACCGAAACCCCTACAAGTAGGTTTGTGTAAAACAATTTACAATAACTGTCAAATGTCAATTGCATTCTTGTTATGCTACTGCCAAACTAAAAAAGCAATTCTCTATAGTTACACTTTTGTTTCATGCTCCCTGTTGTAATTATTTCACTATTACTTCCCTGACTTGACTGTGGGACCAGGCATTTTGCATTGTATTGATTTTTCTGTCGAGGCGTTGTGTTAGTCTTAAGACAGTTAGATCTCCCGAGGAGTTCTTGAACGCAACATCCTGTAACTGCGACTCCTCCGCAGAGATTAGCAGTAAGACTGTTGCTTTTTTCCGTGCAATTTTTTGTTGTTGAATAAATTTTATGAGTAATACTTCACAATATTAATTTAGTTTACCGTCAATCTTTTACACACGAGTCGGAGACTTCTCTGAAACTGTCAGCAGGGGGAAATGACAGGTCAACGGCTAAACTTAATGCGAGGACTGAACGCGGCTGTAACGTCTGTGCTGCCGTTGCACTGAAAGAGACCGGATCGAACAGCAGCACACAACTCAAGTTTATTACTGTTTCCTCCATAACAAAAGGGACGTTTTTCCTCTCTGTGTGTTTATTCGACGCCATCGTACGGTTAAAGGCCCCCGAAAAGATTTAAAATGCAAGACGTGCTCATCAACAGCATTTGTATTGTAAAAGGTAGGCACGGTTGAAGTTAGAACCAGTAGTGACGCTAAGTTAACCTCTGCTAATAGTTAGCATTAGCTGTTAGCTGACTTGCCTGGATGCTAAAGCCCCTAACTCACCCTATCATAGTAATGTTAAACCGGGCTCCGGCTATTTGCTGGAGTGACCAACAGTGTACATGTTAACGTTATTTACAAGCTAATGTTATTTTAGTGGTCGTTGCTTTGTTATTTGAGCTCTAAGTAACTTTAATTTTAGTTGTAGTTGAGAAACAGGCTAAGTTGCTGTTGACAGATGTCACACATTGTGCCAGAATATCAATGTCCTCATCTGTTCTGTTGCTGTTGGCGCATAAGATTACATGTTGCTGGTTTTTATTAAAGTTACTTTAAGGTGTTTTTTTTTAACACTTTCTTCCCCAAACTTTAATTATGTCTCTCCATCAGGACATGGAGCACGGAGAAGGACTGTCTGAATAACAGCGATCAGGATTATATACTATTCGGCACCGTTGCTTCATCAAACCACCGCTTCCAGATTTGATCAACTAAATGTAAAGGATCTTTTGGTTCAAGCTACCATGGCTAAGCCAAGCGGTGAAATCCAGAGAAGGAACCCTCAGCATGACTTTGAGCTCATTCAGAGGGTGGGAAGTGGCACATATGGAGACGTGTACAAGGTAAAGTGAAGTTTTTTGTTCCCACAGCCTGTCACCAGATCTGGAGATACCTTGGCATGTGGCAAGCACATTTGACAGTAGCTTTTGAATGAGGGCCAAGTTCTACATCCATTGCTATAATCTTCAGCTACAGAAACAACTGTAGTTGATACCACATTGCATAAGGAGCTAAGAGTGGTAATCGAATTGTAACTTACCTTACTGTACTGTCACCTGAAATAAGCTGGGTAATTTAGTGAGATATAAAACAGTGTTGTTTAGAGCTGCACCGTTTGGTTTATTGATTGATAAGTTGAAAAATAAGTCATCTGCCACTGTTTTTGTAATTGATTCATTTATTCAGTGAAATGCTTAACATTTGCAGGTTCCAGCTTCTCAAGCATGAGAATTTACTAAATTTTTTTGGTCATATATATATTATTGTAAATCAAATATATTTGGACTTTGGACTATAGATCAGACAATTCCATCAATTTGAACATGTCACTTTGGGCTTTGGGAAGCTATGATGAGCATTTTATTCTATTTTTTAACATTTCATCGACTAAACAAAGTAATTGATCAAGATTATAATCTGCAGATTAATCAGAAATATAAAAAATAATTGCAGACCTACTATTGTTTGTTTATTTGATTTTGGTTTCAGTAAGATTGTGCAGTTGTCTTTTCCTGGTTGTGCCAGCTGCATTATAGTTAACTGAAACAATTTCCTGAACTCGTTTGACTGTTCAGCCTGAGTGAAATGAACAGTGAATGCTTGTCTATTTCCACATCAATTTGTCTATTTGCGGTGGAGACCATGTCACCCATCCCTAGTCTAAAGCAACAGTATTAAATCAGCTGTAGGCATACCCCAAAGTGGATATTTGCTTACTTTCCATTGTTGAGTAATGTTGCTTCTATTGAACATAGCTCTTAATATTGATGTGCAGGCCATAATCAGATACATATTGCCAGACTATCTATCTAACTAGACTGGAAAAAGAAGAACCATTCATGTACTATATTTATTTGCAGTTTCATCCAATTTTTTACCTCAGATGAAACTAGGTAAGAGTGCAGTCATTTCCCCTCACAGATGGCAACATTTGCAATCATTCACACACCTCTGTCTCATAGCAGCTCAAAAGGCAGAAAATAAATTCATATTACCAAGTTATACTATTACAGACTATTGCATAAAATTTTACTTCATGGCTATGTTAGTATCAAGTAGATGCAGTGTTGAAGGAGAGTTACTGTAGGTGAGATTGTAAATTCTTCATTGGCATGTACTGGAGCGATACATGGCACTGTGCTCCTGTAAATTTGCACAAACATGTTATCTGTTTTTTTTTTTGTTTTTTTTCAGATATGAGAAAAATGGCAATCAAAAGAAAGTCTAAACAAGGTAGTTCATCCAAAGCTGCCCATTGGCTGCAGCGGTGTGTGTTTTGCTAGAGAATGTTCTTGTTCATCCATCTGCCGCCGATAAACAGACGACCCATCTGATCCAGAGTGTGATAGTTCAGGCAGCGTGTCATGGTCCCTCTCCATACAAAGCCTCTCTGGCCAGCCCCCCACCCCCAGACAGGCCACCGGTGGAATGCTGCGCCTGGTATTCTCCCACAGCTTGCAGGCTGACGGCTGCAGGGCTGAAATATGATCAGGCCCCTGTCTAAACATGCGTTTCACTATGGGTGTGTTCTAGGTCCCACTGACAGCAGAAACACCTCAAATTGGGAAAAGTCCTCCTTTAGCCTGCTGTGCTCAGTTGAATTTTAATGTGCACAGCATTTATTGCCTTGAATGATTTATTACATCTGATTATTATTAATTTTAGAATCCCATGCTTATTTTTTATTACTGGTGATTTATTTATCTTCATCAGACCCTTGGCTCTCATTTGTTGTTATAATGTCACTTTATATGCTGAAACGTTTTGAATTGGTACCTTTTAAAGAGTTACTACACATTATGTACCTAACGCTAATTATTTGTACAAGGGAGTATGAAATGCAACAGATAATACCTGCAGAAAGTCAGTAATGTAGGTGAGTGGAGTACTGATACTGGCTCTGCGTCTGTCACTGTTTGTGTCAAAGAAGGAACCAAGGAATCCGGCACACTGTCAGTCACTTGTACTCACTTTATTAACTATATTTTGGTTTAGAGTTTTAAAGATTTCTTGGTCCTACACACTTCAAAAAGCCTTTATAGTGTGCAAGAACTTACTTGTAAAAGTTGGAAATATTTTCCTAGTTATTGTTAAGTCGGTGTCTAACATTCTCACTCATTCTAGTGGATCCGTAGATCTATGTAGACACCTGTTTTTCCCTCAGCCTGACACGGTGATTGATCTTGTGTCAGATCTTGCCTCTTTAGAGGTCTGTTACATGCCAGACTGCTCATTCCTTTGGTTAAAGGTTTTAAAGCTGTGTCATCTGCCACATCCCATATTTGAACATTCAGATCAGAACTTCCCCTTTCTGGGTTTAATTCTCAGGTTTGCTTTAGCCACTTCAGGAAATGTAAAGCTAGACACAGGTTGTAAGCATGTTTGGACCATAGTACAGTACACTTCCCTGTGTGAAATATTTTTTTTGTAAAATAGTTTTCTGTTATGTGTTTGTGTGCAGGACAAGTTTTAAGCTTTGTGTGGTATGCTTTTTAGGTATATGTATGAATCACCAGCACATTCCCTGTGTTGACGGTTTTATGGTTTACGGTTGATTTAGCTGCTCATCCCTTCTCTTCACTCCCACAGATTAGGGAGCATCCCGTCTTGACCTGGATTTGAAAGTCAGTGCAACCTACTTCAAGACAGAAACGATGGATAGATATGTTTTTAAATCAAATGCAGTTGAGATGTTGGAATAATAAAATATCAAACTGTAAAAATGGTACAGCATAATAAATATACAGAAGAAAGAAAAAGAACATCACAAATGAACAAAATTATGCAACTCTTAAGATTAAGATTATGCAACTATGAGACTAAATCACGAGTCATCTACAGCAGGAATATTTAAAGGTTTACTGTCATAGTTCAGCTTCTCCCTGCTTACTAACGATGCCCATGGGTTGAACTAATGACCTCTGGTGATACTTCTTTAAGCAGACTTCAGGTTTTTAGTTGGTCTAGTGTGAACACATAGCAGAGGTAACTGGTTTGGCATTGCTTACATTAATGATGTTGAATCTGTCTGATGGAGGTGCTTCTGTTCGTATTCCACAGTTGAATGTCTTCACTCCACTACTCTCAGAAGCGAAAGGATCATCCAAATGACATTTATTGGTTTAATGCTTATGTAGGCCAAAACTGTAAAGGATGTCCAATCACAATACAGTTTCATGGTGGCTTTGATCCGTATTAACATAATAGCATCACACAGTTGCTGCAGATTTGTCGGCTGCACATCCATGATGCAAATTTTCTGTTCCACCACATCCCAATGGTGCACTTGAGTTCTGGTGACTGTGGAGGCCACTGGAATGCAGTGGATTCATTCAAGAAACCAGTTTGAGCTGATTTGAGCTTTGTGTCAAGTAGTAGTCATACAAGGCAGAATGGATCCATACGCCAAATTCTGAACCTACCATCTGAATGTCGCAGCTGAAATCGAGACCAGGCAACGTTTTTCCAATCTTCTGTTGTCCAATTTTGGTGAGCCTGTGTGAATTGTAGCCTCAGTTTCCTGTTCTTAGCTCACAGGAGTGGCACCCAGGGTGGTCTTCTGCTGCTGTAGCCCATCTGCTTCAAGGTTTGACGTGTTGTGTGTTCTGAGATGGTATTCTGCGTATCTTGGTTGTAACAAGTGGTTATTTGAGTAACTGTTGCCTTTCTGTCATCTCCAACCAGTCTGCCCATTCTCCTCTGACCTCTGACATTAACAAGGCATTTTTGTCCACACCACTGCCACTCACAGGATATTTTCCATTCTTTGTAAACCCTAGAGATGGTTGTGCATGAAAATCCCAGTAGATTAACAGTTTCTAAAATACTTGGACCAGCCTGTCTGGCACCAACAACCACGCCACGTTCAAAGTCACTTAAATCCCCTTTCTTCCCCATTCTGATACTCAGTTTTTACTTCAGCAAGTTGCCTTGATGCCTAAATGCATTGAGTTGCTGCCATGTGATTGGCTGGTTAGCTATTTGTGTTAATAAGCAATTAAATAGGTGTACCTAATAAAGTAGCCAGTGAGTGTAGAGAGCAGTTTTAAGTCACTTTTGCGGCAAAATCTCACATTTCCCTGTGACAAATGTTTGTGACTTAAGTGAATGATAGCTGATGATTATTTTTGGGAGGGTCGACTAATGAAGCTGCTGTTTTGGAGCACAAGTTACGATTGAAGCAGTGATAGTAACAGTATTGTGACAAGTGTAGCCTTGCTGACAGTTGTGCTGTTGTGTCTTTCAGGCTCGAAACATTCAAACTGGGGAGCTCGCAGCTGTGAAGATCATAAAGTTGGAGCCAGGTAAGAGCGACCTTCTCATTTTCTCAGTTTTTCCCATCACAGTGAGCAAAGAAATATGTTTTGCGAGTTTTCGTCAGAGCCAAATAATAAGGACAAGTCTGGAAAATAAGTCTGGTATTTTCCAGGGTTTTTAGAGGTATGCACAAAAAGTACTAAAAAGACAGAAAAAATATTGTGTACAGTGCCAGTACTCATGAACCCAAATATTTATGTGCTCATAGAACCAGTGTTGTTTTAAATATTTTGATCTTTTTTATTTGAATGATGATCTTTAGTTTATAGATAGCCATGGTCCTGCACTCTGGTCAGTACCCAAAATAACATCTAAAGTCTGAAAAAAGTACTTGTGGTAGTATTTGTAACAAACATTTCTTCCAACCGTATAATGATGTTTATATGATGACCTGGTGACAGAGGTCCGGAAGATCCAGATTAGTGGGATTACGATGACGGCTTTGTACAAGCGGGAACCAGACTGAGCTCAGCTGATAACAAGTCTGTGAAGGAAGAGATTCACTTCTGTTTTTCTCTTTCATTCATCATGTCACTGTTGGCTGGGAGTGAGAGCATGTGGGACTAGTGGAGTGTTTGTGTCTGAAGTTACACCTGGTGTTTTCCTCAGGTGTCATCTTGTTCTATAATTGAGCTGTAGTTTCAAAATGCATGTTTTTTTCCCCCCTTTTTTCAACTTCCTGATACATCTCAGGAGGTCTTGAGCTTTTATTTAAGGCATAGACATATTCCGCTGGAATAGTAGGAGGAGGGGGGATTAGCGTGTGTGCACATGTGTGTGCGTGATGCCGAGGATCATGGGTGCTTAGCTGTAAGATGGAAGAAAAGGCAGAAGAAGAAAAAAGGAAGCATTTCTCTTGAATGTTTGAGAATAAAAATTGTAAATCCACAATCTAGGGCTGCAAATTCAGATAGTTTTCATTATTGATTAATCTGCAGATAATTTTCTTGATCATTTGATTAGTTGTTTTTTCTATAACATGTCAAAAAATAAAGGAAAAATTTCCTCACAGTTCCCCCAGACCCCAAGTTGATGTCTTCAGGTTTTATTTTGTTTGAACAACAGTCCAAAACTCAAAGATATTAAATTTAGAATAATATAAAAGGCAGCCAATCCTCACATTGGAGAAGCTGCACAAGCTTTTTTGATTAAAAACATGACTTAAACAATTGATTATTTATATAATAATTTAATATAATTTCAACTCCAGCACACTCACTGATCTACATTCTTAATAAATAGGTAAAGGTAAAATATTAATTAAACAAATAAAAATACAGAAATAATTCACAGATGAAGAGTAAAAATGGGCATGCACTACATCATTTGCAAAGCCCTGGGTAGGTATTTGTATTTGCTGTGTTCATATTTGCTTTGTCTTTTTTTAAATCAAAAGAGGATTAACCCAGCTCAACCTGTACTGTTTAAGCAGGACTCACTTTACCTTTCCCCCTTTGCAAAAGTCGCTCCTTTCTGTACTTAAGGGAAACAGCTTCGGGTGGACCACAGAATCAAACAGGTTTGACCGGGAGGAGTGACTCTGTTATGAAGCAAGGGACAGGGAGAGAAAGGAGATGGGAGTGGTGAAGTCCTCTGGCTGCAGGGGCTCTAATGCACAGAGCAGGTTAATCTGATAAGTTGGATGTGCATGACCATTGAAGACCAAATTAGTGTTTGTCTGTACTCGCTGACTATTGAGCGGATTCTTTCACTTGTTGTACAAACTTTTTGTAGCAAATTCTTTTCAACACTCTGACGTCATCTCACTATACCTCTTTTCTTCATCTGCAGTTTTTGTTTGGATGTTGTTACTGTTCTCAAGAAGCTGGCGCCAAGTGGCATTTTCCTCTTAAATTCTGCTGCAAGCCATTTGGGTGTGGAACAATGTCTTGCATCCTGCATGCAATTACATTTATTTTCTATAAGCTGTTACAACAGATGCAAAAGCAGAAACTTTTTGAAGAGTTTTCAAATCTCCATGGATCACCTCGGATGGTTTCATTTTTAAACTTATTTTTTGTCAAATATGCAATTAAACTGACACCCATCAAAACATATTCATGTGAGGCTGTTCAACACTGAATAACAGGCCGAATTGAAACTTTTAGAGTGAGCAAGGATGTGTAAATTCAGAGAGCAGAGGGAAGCTCTCAGTCTGAGAGGAAGTGGCTACGTTTTAAGGCCTCAACACGCCAAGAAGAGAAGATTGTTTTGTTATGCTTTTTTTTTACCAAGCTCAGAGCCATGTCACTGAAATTACCCTTGCTCAAATATTTGTGGCTTCTTGAACATTTTCCTCTCTGTCAACAGATATCTTGAAAATGTTTGCGATCAACAGTAGTTCCCTTCTAATGTGAAAATGACACTAAATAAAATAACACTGTAATTACAGATGTAGTAATATGTAATTTTAACCTAACTGAGTTCCTCAAAGTGTGACTTTCTCTTAACATTTTATAATGTGGCGAACAACAAAGACTGTGGGAAATTGTCACATTCGTCATCATTAAAGCTGTGTGTTGAAGCTGTAAAGCAAAGAGACATTCAGTCCATCCTCATGCCACATTTAATTTTTACAGATTCAGACTGAAAATTATTGGCACTTCACCATAGCCTCTGTTTACATTCTTGAGCATACTGAATTTATTCTTGTTACAAACTTGTCAAGCATCTGTAACGAGAATAATAAAAAATAAATGGGCTTGATTAGCTTCTAGGAATAAATCACAGAAGCCGAGTCTCAGACAGACTCTGTCAGGGTGCTGTGTAAATGAGGGGAATCGCATGAAGAGGATTTAAGTTGGATGTATATTCCACTCACTGTATAAATTGCATATTCATAAAACATCCTACCACTGGTGACTCGCACTTCACTTAACGTTGCACAATCAACATTTCAGCTGGGTAAAAGCTGAAATATTTTTTGTGACATGTCTCCTCCCCTTGATTAATGAATAATAATTTTTGTCAACAAATCCCACGAAAAGACCAAGATACTTTCTAACTTAGCTACTCCACCCTTTAGCACTCATCACTAAGCCCATTGGATTCTATTGAAGATGTAAATCTCTAAAGGTAATAAATATATAGTTTTGTTTTAAGGGCTCAGTAATGTGACACAACATAGTTTTTTGTAAACATTTCTCAGACTGGAGTAAGCAATGCATTTGTTGGGGACTACTTTCAGATTCGGATCAATACACCTTTGGTGCTGTAGTGGCTAGTCAATACTTTTTGGACAATAATGGAGCTCTGTGGAAAGAAATGTGATGTTTCTAATATACTGAACAATTCATTAGGGACGCAGGTATAAAGCTATAGTTGAGACATCTACTAGTTATGTTATCTCAAGTCTTCTGATATCATTAAATACCCACAGAAGTAGCTGGGTAGAAATTCAAAGCTAATGGAAATTCACTGGTTTGTTGTTTATCAGCGGGACAGTTATACACGTGTTTGCATTCCAACCAGACTCTTAATTCAGACTCACGTGAGAGCCTAACCCCTCCCAGACAGACTGAAAAAAGGACTGCTGCAGGAGATTGCCTGACTGGGTGCAAACTGTTTGTGTACTCAGAAAACCCTCTGTGGTCCAGAATATATATCCATTTACCATGTTTACTTCCAAAGTTCAAATGCCCCTGTATCACTTTAATTAGGCTAGACCACAAGCCACCTGGTACAGTGTTTAGAGCTGCAGGGTATAGCACGGTGCAAGTCAAGAACTTGTTTTTGTCTTCAGGTCACAGCTAGTAGTTATGGCCAATATTTTAGTTATACTAATAATAATACTGTTTTACTTATAGGTGAGCAGAACTTACATGCTTAACCTTAAGCAGAAAAAAAGATTCAACAGGAATTTCCACCGCAAGTAATGTGCAGCTTTTTGGCAGGGATTGTATCCATTAAATGAGCATAACCTGGACTGATGCCTTTGATGACAGTCTGTTGATAGAACACTGAAGCTGGCAGAGTCTGGTAGATCTTAACCTCCTGTTAATGTATTCCAGGGCCGTGTCCCTGCTCAATTGGGAGCAGCTGGGCTTACATATTTTTGTCTTCTTACTTCCTACTGGTCGGATGTGTTCAAGTTCTCTGCTGATCTGGAGCCTGGGTATTAGTCTATACCACATAAACTTAAGTACAAGGTGTTCCTTCTGTTGTTATTGGCTGTTCTATAGCCTTCTGTATTTACAAAGATATGAAATATCAAATCATACAGTCAGGGGGAAATAATGGAAGCCTTTGTTCTGCGGTTTTGAGTTTGGCAAAGTAAAAGGAAAGATATAAGTTTTTCTTAAACTCTAAAGTTTAAGGCTTGCACAACCTTTGTATCATCTGAGATACTTTGAGTGGCGATTTTTGTCAAGATTTCAAATTCAAGGTTTTTTTTTCTAGTGTCAAAAACATTTTTAACAACAATTTTATTGTGTGGGTTTTGTAGGTATTGTAATTCCATGCTCGTAATCATCTTGTGAGGTGTTTTTTTCCAAAATGGAAAATATTGTGTCATTTAAAATATGTTTTAAATGAAAAAAAAAGTCCCTGAAAATGAAAATATAACTTGTGTCTGTGTGATTTCTCTCTCTGTTTCCAGGGGATGACTTTTCCATCATACAGCAGGAAATCTTCATGGTGAAGGAATGCATGCACCACAATATTGTGGCCTACTTTGGGAGCTACCTGTGGTAAGAGCCAACTTAAAATACTCCTGCTTTGTCATTTTAAAGTCAATATTTTGTCTTCTCTCACAGCCAGTCCAAGGGACAGCATTCAGGGAATTCATATGTTACCGTCAAAAGGATTTAACGAGCCACTGCCTGAAACTCTCATGACGTATTTAATAACTTAGTCACACCTGTGTGTGAAAGTATGACTCAGGGGCTTCAACTGGCTGACTGGTGCTCTTCTGTGCCAGGATTGGGCTCTTATGTTTAATGGAACCCGTGTTTTGTGGCTGGTGTCTGAGAGGAAGAAGGGCCGGTCCGCCCACCAATGCCTTCGACTTCCAGCAGGTTTAACTGGAATAAAAGGCTCTGATCTGTTTAATAAGGCTGTTAGTACAGTGAGGTGCACGTCTTATCGCAGCAGGCATGTCTTGCACAGTCTCGCCACACAGAGCACAAATGGTTAGTGTAAAATGTTAATGAGCACAACCATGCATTCATTATTATAAAACTGGATTAATTTTATTAGAAGAACGACTGTTTTATTTGGGGAAGTTCACGTTTCCTTTCAGACCTGTTTACTGACCTAAAATCATTTCCATGTCCAGCTAAAAGATGTGAAAAGTAGCACAGATATGATTAGGAATCTGGGGCATCATACAATATCACTGCCTCTGCTGGCCAAGTGTCACAGTTTGATCACAGTCACACAGACTTATTTTTAGAGCGTTGATATAATTCTTCAAATTGCCCCTCTCATATTGAACATCCAGTACAGCTAACTACAGAAGCACTAACTTTTGTTTATTGTTCACCTTTCTGCATAACTACATGTTGTTTATTCACATTTTTTAGTGAAGTGGTTTCATGAAGGTTTGCTGATCGGTACAGCTTAACTTGTCCAACAAGTGTGTAGAATTCTTGTGCTGCTTTTATTATGTTTAGCTACTTACTAAAATATGTGGCTAATTAGCTGTATAGTAAGTGTTTCTTGCTAACTGGCAAAGCAGCAGTTCCTAACATGATAATTTTCTGTACTTACATCAGTCGAGAGAAGCTTTGGATATGTATGGAGTACTGTGGTGGAGGATCTCTGCAGGACATTTATCATGGTGAGCTTTTCTCTAATTCATAATGAATAAGATGCAGTCATAAAATGGTTTGATACTGTTCATGCATTGTAAAAATCAATCTCTGCCTTAAAGCATTCTCCTGCAAACATGGAATTGTGAATTTAATTGTGTTGTTTTAGTTACGGGACCTCTCTCAGAGCTTCAGATAGCATATGTCTGCAGAGAGACCCTACAGGTAATTGTACATTTAAATATTTTTTCAATTAATATGCCAACATTTGGAATTTCAATTGAGTTCATTACAGGATACATTCATTTTCTTCACAGGGTTTAGAATATCTGCACAGCAAGGGCAAGATGCACCGTGACATCAAGGTATTATATCTTTTCTGTTGTGTTTTTGTTTTCTTTTAGCCTTAATTTAATCGTCAGGCCCACTCTTATGTGCCGCACACAGACACTTCGCCTCACGCCAAAACAGACAGGTTAATACTAATATCTTTAAGCAACAAATCTAAAAACATGAGAGAAAAGGACAGAGGTGAGCCTTACTGAAAGAGAAGCTGCAGCAGTAGCACAGCCTTAAAACAGTTATCAATGTAAATGCATATTTTGACTTCTGTCTGATGCAGCAGCCATGCAGAGGTGTGAACTGACGTCACAGGAAAAGGTTAGCCATGGATGTGCTTACTCAAAAGCATGTGACCAATGGTGTCGATTTTGTGGTTGGGCTGAAGTTGATCATGCCTGGTGCATGTACACAAGCTGGAGCCTCATTCTCATGTGTTATCGCCGAAGGTCAGGGCTAGACCTATTATCTTTACTCTACTCTATGCAGTGAGCGCTTCCTGTTTCCTCTACTCTCACCGCAGGATACCACCAGAGAGACAGTCACAGCCAACAGAAACATTGTGCGTGGAACTGTCAAAAAGCTGTGATATGGTGCAACTTTATTGGCAGTCAGATAAATAATAGATGTTACTGAGAAAGTTTAACACATAATTGGCACTTTGTTGTGAACTAGTTGAGCAACACATCAACACAGCTCAGTATCTTTAGCCTTGGTCTCCTGATGCTAAAATATTATAAGGGTCTCTTTTAATGTATTTTCTTGAAGTAAAATAAATGTTTATGGGATTTTTTAACAGGGTGCCAACATACTTCTTACAAACGACGGAGATGTGAAGTTAGGTAAGATGTGCTCTTTTGCATCTTAATTCTCAAGGACTTGAACTCCTTTTAATTCTATGTGGATTACATAATCTGAAAAGCCCTTTCAATCCTTGTTCCAGCTGACTTTGGAGTTGCAGCCAAAATAACAGCCACCATTGCCAAAAGAAAGTCCTTCATTGGAACACCTTATTGGTGAGTGACTTTGACAGGCTTTGTTGAAGGATTTTGTTTTTCCCCGAGTTAGTTTTATTCAGAGAAGCAGTGATTAAATACTTTCAATCAGATACTTAAACATTTTATCCAACACAATCTAGTTTGTGTTGACAAGGTGTACAAGTGGTTAGATAGATGCTTTACATGATAGATGAAGTTCAAACTCCCACAGCAGCCCAAGTGTTTCTGAGCAAGACTCCTTACCAGCTTGAGGCCTGCTGTGCTGTCACCAGTGTTGGGAGTAACGTGTTACAAAAGTAAAGCAATTAAAGTAATGTATTGCTTTTTGCTGTAACGTAGTAATGTAACACATTATCAAAAGAAAATGTGTAATATTACACCCCTTACAATCTCAGTTACGCTCATTACAACACATTTTAACCCGATATTAAGTGAAGTTTTGTTTTTTAATAATTCACACTGAGAAACATTTCAGCAGCTGAAAAACAAATCCATGAGTAAAAGAGTAACATTATTTCCTGTTGGTGGAATCCAATGGTCGAGACTGTAGACAGGGTGCAAACTATGGGGGAGCTCGGCTCCTCTTAACAAGACCGTAGCTCCCCTGATGTATCATACGTAAATAGATTTCTATAGGCTATGTGTTCGTGCTTTAACGAATTGCTTTCATGATTAGAGAGGCTGCTGTCAGTTCATCCTGACCGATTCTGTCGGTGGATTCAAATAATCAGTGATGTTATGCTGCCATACCTCGTGCGTAAATGCGCACACCCTCTTTCAGACGATTCATGCTATACCCCTCGTGCTATTAATCAGAAGTTTGTTTTTATAACAAAGACCCACCCGATAGGCGGATATAACTGCATATCACTAGAACCCACCTATGCAGCACATCTTACTATCAGAATAATGTGCCTATTAAATAGCAGTGAAAGTAACTCAAAAGTAACGCAAAAGTAGTATAAAGCATTACAATTCGGAGACAGTATTAATGTAATAAAACTAATTACTCAGACTAGCTAGTAATCTATAATGTATTACATTTTGGAAGTAACTTGCCCAACACTGGCTGTCGCTGACCTAAACACACCTTCAGTTCAAAGAGGGCTAATTGAGAGCCTTTAAGAGCAGTTTCCTGACCTAAAAAATTTTTTGCACTTTAATCTCATTATTAGTATCAATGTTGGTTTTTACTTTAAGGAGGCCTCCCTAACAAACATCATCCTTATCATCATTCATCCTTATTTTTGGAGAGTCATCAATGAATTATTGTCCTGAATTTGTGTAGGATGGCTCCAGAAGTAGCCGCAGTGGAGAAGAACGGCGGCTACAACCAGCTGTGTGATATCTGGGCTGTTGGCATTACCTCCATAGAGCTGGCAGAGCTACAGCCTCCAATGTTTGACCTACACCCGATGAGGTTTGTTTTACTTTCCTCAAAAATAATGTTTCAGAGCTTCCACAGATTAATCTTAGGCTACTTTCTGCTTTTGTGTTCCTCTAGTATTTCATCACATCTTTTGATTACTTGATTGGTCATTCTGTGTAATTCAAAGTACATTAAGGCTCATATTAGAAGAGATCGCGGGCCGTTTCATTCCTTTCTTTGGGGAAAGTATATTTCCTTCTTTAAGTCAGTCTAAACCACTCTTAATCCATGTTTTTTGTTTTTACTTAGGGCCTTGTTTTTGATGTCGAAGAGCAGCTTCCAGCCTCCGAAGCTAAAAGACAAAAATAAATGGTGAGTGACCCTCAATATTCTTTGAAATTACTATTCTGAAATTACTTTGACACTGGTCTTAGAGGATAATAGTGATTCTTATCGCATTAAAAGAAAATTATCTCCTTCCCCAGGTCCACTGCCTTCCATAACTTTGTCAAACTGTCTCTGACTAAGAACCCGAAAAAGAGGCCCACTGCAGAAAAACTACTTTCGGTA